CAACTAATCAAACGAATGACACTGCAATCTCTTCGTGTGTCAATTCCAGCAACAGGTGTCAAGGCCATTCGCGCAATACGACATCGGTAGCCGGAAGCTGGTAGCTCGTCAGCTTGAATGATAATGATTTGCCGTAGTTACGTAGTTAGGATTCTTTCGTGACGCGTAATGCGTCAGAAATCGAGATACATCATTGGACGTTCACAGATTGAAAATCTCTCTTATCATTCGATGACGCTTGGCGTGGAAATTATTATAGAAGTTTTTTACTCAATAAATTATTAAATCGAACCTCCGTGGAAGATAATTTACGGCTATATCTGGTGAAATTATACGATCGCGTTAAGAATCGGTCAAGTTCAAGGTACCTTCCAACAAAATACTCCGATGTTAACATTTTAACGGATCGTTAAGACTTTAAGAAAACCTTCGTTTACATTTCTTCGACAGTTTCTCGCCGCGCTGCTGTCATCGATATATAATCGATGATCTTACGCATATGCGTAATATACACGCACTGTGTACAAGTTTGTAATTATCGTCAACAGCAGGAAGCGCATAGCAGCAGCATCTCGCTGAACGCTAAGCAAGTACGTGTTAAACTAATTTGCTGATCATCGCAAAATTATCACCGCGTGTCATCGAGTAGCGATAAAATCTGCTTAACGATATATTACCGGTATATAGTTTTCTATACACGTTATATTTTCATAATTTCAAAAGACTGTTAATCGCTTTAGACGTAAAATCATTCATATGTTACAGGACTCTTATTTTCCAAGAATTGAAATGATAAGTATAAATATGTAGTTGATTATTGCTGAAATTATGGTCTGTGAAGATAGCATATTATTTCATGGGATATCAAGAATAATTATTTTGTTTTGAATGAACAAAATAAAAAAAATTTCTTAAACATTTTTTATATAAAAATTCTTTTTTTATTGGCGTATAATGCAAAAGAAATATATATTTGTTAATTTTTAAACGTGGTAAAAAATTTTGAAAATTTGACCGGGTGATTATTATTTCAGAAAGTTACTGAAACTAAATAATATCTTTCTCTTCACTCATTTCATGAATATTTCATCGAGCAGGATACCTAACTCATCAGTTTTAATTTAATGCTTCGATTGCTTTGCAAATTCAAATGATTGCATTCGAAAATATATATCACTATAAACCACACATCTAATTGAATTTTCAACCCTCTTACATCATGTTTATCTTTACAAATTAATAAACGTATATGCATTTTGCACTATGCGATGATAAAAATAACGGTTTTCTCCCACAGAGGTACGTGTGTTTAATTTATTTCATTCTGTCAACTCGCTATAAAATAACAGCTATTCAATTTCAGCAACTTCCTAATGGTCACCTACATATACGACCTACAATTAATTATTTCAATACCGGTAGAGAGCGAAACACGCGAGAAACATCGCAAAAATCCGGAAAATATACGGGATTCGTGTATACGGCTAACTGCAAGCAATCAGCCTTATCGAGGCCCAAGCACGAGCATGGGTCAGCGATAGCTTTCGCGCGAGATGACATTATCTATCACCCGGTCCATGGAGAAAACCGGACGTCGCTTCTAGTTTCGTGGATTCGTCGTCGTCTTCTAGAAAGAGTCAGAGTTCAATCGCGACCGAGACTTTCAATCTCTGACTCTTGCTCGCGCGGAGTAAACTCGACGATCGTTAATCAACCGGTCGTTATCCGATGCTGGATCGCCAATGGATATCCCACATCCCGTAGTCGGGAATAGCAATACGGGAGTGTAAATAGCCGTAAATCGAGACTTGAGCCGCGACTGTTGGTGTTAATTAGACTTAACCGGCTATAAACGTAAATCGGCCCGGACATTGTTTCTTATACGGTTTGAGAGATCGATTTTCCGATCTTGTTCGACCGGTTCTCGCGAAAGTCTGCAATTGATGCCTTCGAGTTATTAGTCCGAGAAGCAGCGTGAAAATTTATGAATAGATACAGATTGTTCTATAGATTATTATACATGCAGATTTTTTTGCCGATTTGATGCGAAATTATTCGATACTGTAAGTAGCTCGAGAAACTTGTATAAATATATTTATATAAATGCTGTCAATTACACTGTCATCGGGCTTATTTTGTATATTGATTTTCATTAATTTGGAATCGATTATTTTTAGATAGAAATGTGAAGATTAACGACGGAATTTATATGAATAATAAATGAAAAATGCGCGTGAAAGTCATGAGTATTTTTTAGTGATATAAACAGATAGCAAAATCTTATTTCTGCATTTCTTCTAACTCCATTAACTAGCTTGAGTTTATAACAATTGAGAAAAAATGTATTATCCAATTCATTTATATTTGAAATTTTTGCCATAATTCTATAACAATTGCAGAATAAAAAATATTTTAAATAAATTATTACTTTTGAGAGCTATTTGAATTTTCAGGAATTGTATATATTCCGTTCTATTTTAAAAAATAAATGGACCCCTATTTGTGTTTCCCACAAAAATTTATACGCCAAATAACAGCCCCCTGTCCCATTTAATTTAAAAGAAATGTAAATATCTCCATCGGTTTTGGAGAAAACAGCTTGTACCGCTTTATTTAGCCCATCCCGTATATATGTCTCATGTATAAAAACATTAGCATTTGCAAATTGCGAAAATTTACGATGACACGAGTATTTCGTGGAATTAAGTTATCGAACAACGTGAGAGTAGAGACAATTTAAATGACATCTTCGTAAAATAAGTTCGCGTTATCGCGACGTCGACTGCGATCGCGGGAAAAGTTATTGTCCGATATCGAGTTCCGAGCGTCATCATCCGCGCGAAAACGCCAGAGGCCCGATATATAATTTATAAATGATCGGAGAGGCCGGTTTACGAGGCTTTGATACGAGGAATATAAATTCGCAAAGCGATGTCCAAACAGACTCCCCCGACGATGATCGAACAGGTTTCCACGTCGCTTCGCCACGCCGTGTAATTAAATCCGATAGACTCGCCGATTTATCGCGCTCTTTATCCAATAATGTACAATAATGTAAATTAGAAATTGCAAAAACATACAACTTTTCGCTGAACATTACGTACCGCACGCGAAATTGGAGGGTATTGAATTTTATGCCGACGTCCCCTCCTTCTTCCTTCCCCTTCCATCAATATCGAAGATTAATTCGAGGAAGATATTTGCATAAGCAAATATGCGGTTAACCAATTTGTGAACTCGGACTTTTTCGAGGCTGGATAATAAATATCCCATGATTAACATCTCCCTTTTCCGCGAAATTCAACTTAATACAAAGTCTCAGAAGCGACTAAACAGGCTGTATTTTTTTTAAATGAATAAATATTGCATAAAAATATCTTTTACTTATTATATTACAAAATTACGTATCGATAAATTTAAAAGTGTTATCATTGCAATTTCACAGATGTTAACAATTATTTACGTAAATATTAATTATGTCTTTATAAACACGATCTCCCGAGTTTTTTAATATTTTTTGTCGCGAAAGAATAATAAATTTATTTATAAGAGACAACGTTGCGGAGAAGTGACAAATATCTCTTTTTCTATCTCAGCGCGAAGATTGATTGCGTTTTGCCTTACATTCGACGAGTTACACGCATATCGTGCATCTCTCTAACTGTTGTTACGGAAATTCGATAATGAGCCCGATGATTATGGTGCATCTTCTCAAAGACACCTTGTTATGCTATATTATTCTTTCTCTCTCTCGAAAAGAGAAAAATATTCAATACGTTTTGTGCGATCTTCCCTCGCAAAGTTCGTGCAGACTCGCCGCGTTTCCCTGAGGTCCGCGAAATTTTCGGTATAAGCCGAAATATCCTCGCAATTTATTCAAATGAGAAAAAGAGCGGGGCTGGCTGGGGGCGATATATTTTGCCTTAAATTATAAGCTGTCTCGCCGAAATTATTGGGTAAAATGAACATGCACGATTGCACGAAAAAAAATACCGTCAGGAACATCGTCAGAGACACCTTAATTCTGTATTTTCGAGAAAAACACTTGTTTTGAGAAAGTTTGACTCGTATAATCTGTATATTCGGTTGCCTTTTTCTGCCTTCACGACTGTGTCGACATACAAATTGCACATAAGAAAATTCATTTTACCGATAAGAAATTTTATCTAATTTCACGATATAAGATGTCAAATAAGTTCTTTCAATATGTCGACCAACATGCTTATGTTTTCTTTCAAAAATAAAGGCTGTATAAATTGATTCATATACTACAGTTCATTGAAAAAATTATATTCTTATTTTACAAACTCACTTATTTTTAGAATATTCTATTCTAAAATAGATTCCAAAAGAATCCTCTACTTTAAGAATAAAACCTCTAAAAATTAGTATGAGATATTTCTAATTTATAAATACGCAAACAAAATAACATTTACTTTTACATTAACAAAAAAGTGCATCATTTTACAACACATTATTTTATAGGAAAAGATAAAATGTATAGACATGATACATATAGAGCATGAAACCTGGATCCCGAACGATTAAATTAAGTTATGTTACTTACTTGTGAACATTTCTCTTAAGTCGCTCAACTTTTCTCTTTCGAACGCTTTTTAACTTCATTCCTCTAATAAACTAAATCATTTCAAACACTGCACTGCAGTATAAATTAGAATTATATACGTTGCTGCAATAATAGGACCATATAATGTTAAATGAATGATAAGAAAGATCGTTTGTTATTAACAAAAAGAATACATCCTTAATTAGAAGATGTTCCAGAAACACTTAAGAATATGCGTTAAGAAGGATTTTATGTACAGAAAAATAGAATGAATAAATTGACTAATACTAATGTTAACATAATTTACGGATGTTATCTAACAATTAACTTTATTAATCGATGCGATAATTGTGTCACAAAGTTTTATCGCAATTATAATTTGCATGAATATTTTCTTCTGTATTCTCTGAATAGAATCATCATATGTTTTTAGAGTGCAACGTTGCGGGATTTGTCAGCAACAACGGCTTTGTGGAAAGAGTACCGTATGTCTTCCTACCACAACGGGGGCAGATAATATATCCACACGCAGAGATTCGCTTTGAAGGTAAATTCTCACGACCTCACGACTGAAACAACGAATCAGTTCGACGGCGCAAACATTTTTTTTTTTTGCTCTACAATAAGAATAGATTAATAGAATTATACTTAACACATAGCGAACGTGTGCAAAATGATTGGCATTACAAAAGAGAGAAAGTAGAGCGAATCGATCGCAGCTGCATATTTTTTCTCTCTCTTTTCAAGACACAAGAATAAGAAAAACACGAAAGTTTAGAGTAACAGAGCCTTCATAAAAATTCTGCTGACGCGCTTCTCTTTCAGAAAAGAGTTCGCCCGCAGAAAACGCCCGTCGGCGTTCATTTCGCTCATTATCCCTCGCCTCGTTTCGCTCGCTGACGCGATCGCTCTTTAGCACGAACATAAATTACTTTTCGAAACTAGGTGTGACCACTCCTGTATGCGGGATCGCCGGTGCCCAGCAATTGGGAAGGGTGGGATGGTCCGAGCTGAGGAATCTTTCCGACACCGAACCGCCCTTCAGATTGTTCCGGGACGAGGGCAGGACATTCCTCCAGGTTGGTGGGAACTTGCGTGTATGGAATAACTTATCACTCTGTCATTACGCGATTGTGTAAGATCGCAATTAGTCGCGTAAGTAGCGGCGGATGGTAGCAGGAATGGGAGAAATATGGTATTTTTATGGAATGCTACGAACGGCGTGTAACCGAGATTCAATCGAATCGCTTGTATTAAGATACCGAGCGGTATCATAATAAAAACGGGAAGCTTAAACGGCGCCAGCGGTGCCTTCAATTAGCGTAATTAGCCTGCGCTCGAGGGGAACCGAGAGAATTCCCTTATACGTAGACAGCGCGACGAACATTAATTCGATTTAATTTTCATTTTATACACTTCACTGCTTTTACTACTTCCTTCTGTATTTTATATCGGCACGCGAACATCTCATGATAAATGTAGGAAAGTACAGAGTGTCTCAGAAAGAATAGTATAAATAAGAATAGTATATATCCATTATTCCATTATGCAGAGATACAGCTTTTCAAAATATAGATATATCCTGTGTATATGAAGTTTGTCTGATAATCTTTGCTGATTCTTGATCTTACGCAATATCAATCATCGTAGTGGATCGGCGAGGCCGGACTAAGAGATGCTGCTGAAGGGCGAGTTGTGACAGCTAAGTTAGTCTGTAGAGACGCCTCACCCAAGTCGACGATCAGCGGTGTTTTTACACCGTGTGTTGCCTTCAGAGTAGCTGGTTCACCGTCAAAAAATAGTACGTAATGTTTATTAATATACATATATTTTATGAAACACTACGATTGATTCATAAATAAATTCCGCTACAGACAATTATCGAAACATTTCTTCTCATAAATCGTGATTTTTTAAATCGAAACAAAATAATTACAGCAGATTTATAGCAACTACGAATATAAATAAGTGCAAAAAAGACTTTCTTTAAAAATATGATTTTATTGTATGATCACATAGTTAAAATAATTCAAGAAAAAGTTTTGGAATTTTCGTGGTCAGTTCCATCCTTCTTTATTTTTCAAATTTTACCACGTTAGAGTTTGATTTGTTTAGGTCATTCAAAAATTCATTAAATGGAAAAAAATTGCATAATGATGTTGAGATCGATGAATTTGTAACAAATTTTTCTCGCAAATCAAAATCTCGAAAATTCTTCAAGGAAGGAATTAAAAGATTAGCGTCTGAATATGGACACAAAAATGTATAATACACTTGCTCCAAAAAAACACTTAAAATAGGGAAAAAATCAAATTTTAAATGACGATAACTTTGTAAATAATAAAGATAGAAAGGCTTCTAAAAAATAAAAATAAAGCTTGGAATCTCTATTTTAATAATGTATTTATTTTAATGTGGCGAGATAAATTGATTAAAAATGGCGGATAACGAAACGAGAACATGCAAAATTGAAAAATAATGGTCCGAGTTTGCATAGGCACATGACGTGAGTCAAATGTCGGAATTTGATGGGATAAAAAGCAGATGATAGTATGGAGTCTCCCCTTTAAAATGCTTTTTTATTCATCTTGATACGATAATTTTTCGCACCGTTATTCGCATTTAAAGTAAAAAACTGCCTTTTATTCAAAGGCGAATATCTTGGCAAAAAATCATCGTATCGAGATGAATAAAAAAGCATTTTAAAGGGAAGACTCCATACCATCATGTGCTTTTTATCCCATTGAGTTCTGACATTTGACTCACTCCATGTGCTTTTACAAACTCGGACCATTATTTCTCAATTTTGTATGCTCTCGTTTCGTCATTCGCCATTTTTAATCAATTTATCTCGCAACATTGAAATAAATAGATTATTAAAGTAGATATTCCAAGTTTTATTTTCTTCTTTTAAAAATCTTTCTATCTTTATTATTTACGAATTTATCGTCATTTGAAATTAGATTTTTTTCCCAAATTTTAAGTGTGCTGCTTTTTGGAGTGAGTGTATATTAAAATTTATAAAAAATTTTAAATATATAAAAATTCAGTTTGTTAAATAAAACGGAATTTATTTATGAATTAATATATGCAATCTTTGTTTGTTTTACATACAATTAAAGGAAAAAAATTACATCTTTTATACACATTGTTAAAATACATACTCGAGATTCATAAAATAAAAATCAATTCATATTTAACTTTATATTCCGAATAAATGTTGCAATTATCTGTGACTAATGAAGATATTTCTAATGGCAGATATTAGATTGTGTTAAAAAAATGACTCACACACTGAAGATATTTTTCTTTTTCTCTCCCTCTCATGGCAGGCGTACGCGAAGTGATGTTTGCATCGACATCCCAAGTGTCTCAAGGTCTATCAGCTACGGAATACATTGCCATCGGTCTGTCTTCCGTTATCTTGGCTCTCATATACGTAGCCAGCGTATCGTTATATTTGCACAGCAGAAGGGCGAAGAGAAAATCCATCGAGGAGGCGAACATCACTCTCGACGGTGGTCGAGACGGCGGTGGATTGGTCAAGAATAATCCGTTGTTGGCCGCCACGAGACATTTTGAGAGCGACACAAATAGCGGACTCACCGAGAGCGATTTGGGGGACGATCTGCCTCCGAGCGATAATGAGCAGGGTTTCGAGAACGTAAGTAAACTGTTAATTTTCGGATAATTTTTCAATCTTTTTACGAGCGCAATCTACGTTTCCAATCTAAATGAACGACATTATTTCATCTGAAAGAGAGGAGATTGCTTTACACAAAGGTATACCATGTATTCGTACATAAATATATCTGTTTTTACACAATCAGAAATTTTAATTATTGTGTCAGAGAAAGATTGTAGATACATTTGTTCCATCGCGTAATTGGGCAAGCTTATACATCTTGTGCATCTCGAGGAGACGTTAGGTACTTATTGAAATGTAAAAGATCACGAAATTATTCGGTTATCTGGGATTTTCGCGATATCTCGGGTACAGAGGCATTCATCTTCTGCCGGATCACCGCGCGCGTTTAATAATGCATCCAATTAGCGCATTAGTTTTGCGCTCCGTTAGTCCGTACCATCCCAACTAGGCGAGGAGGTGCATCCCACTTTTACAACGTGCCGCTTGTCGGAATATCACGCACTACGATTTCAGTGCGTTCTACGAACCGCTTCCATGTAGCAGGATTCTTTCTTCGCTGACAGAGTGTGAATATAAGTCGCGTTGCGACTTGAGAGAGTCGGGTTTTCAGCGATCTCGAGTTCGCGTTGAAAACATTCAGTGGTAAAAGGTGATAAATATTGATTAATCGCACGAAGAATTTCGATCCATTTCAAGTACAATATAACGAATTATGGGTAGACAATAGTCAATGGGTATCGTGGTATTTCTATCAGATAACATCCGCGATCGTTCATCCACATTGTGTGTATCTGGAGCAATCGGAAGGGCTGTTCTCCGCGGGATCTATTCTGGGCGAGAGACTACCGGAAGAGGATGTACGCGTCGTGGAGACGGCTGACAACCCGCATCAGCAGGATGTACCGGTTCTTCCAGGTGCTCAACGAAGGAAACTGTACTTCAATCCGGCGTACTTCGATCGACAGCTATTGCTGGTAAGTTGCTTAATGGGACAGGGACGCTGAAGAAAAGTTGCTTATTTTCCATTCGCGCGAGTCATTCGCGCGAGTTTGACGTTTTTGAACTACGGAATGTTTTAATGGCTCCTCTTGCGGTGAAGTCTATTTGATTCGTCCACGTCCACTTGCCACAGCGACAAGATAATTTGAAAACAGCCTGGCATTTTTTTAGGCCCCACCTCCGGCTGCTATCGAGTTCCTACTCAAAATTCGAGAAGTCATTTCGATCGCCAAGCACAAGATGGCTGCGAAAAGATTCGTTCCTACTCTCAATGGTAATTATCTTTTTTCAAAAAATGGATATAAAATATTCTATATGAAATAAATGAAACAATGGAGCAATTTTTATACAGATATTTAAAATATTAATTAGAATATTCTCTTTATTTGTGAGATTGCTTTTTATATGACTAGAAGATATAGATAAAGATATTCATTTCTTAATTTATTAGAAGAATGAATAAAGGTAATTAAGTGGTTTCGGAAAAAAAAACGTAAAAGAAGTGTTTATGAGTAAGTAATGTGTAATAAGCTTCAATCATATACTATATTTTCTTTATGATTAGTTTTGAAAGATATTCTAGAAATACTTGAGATTTTCTAATATACAGTTTTTACTTTTTTGAGAATACAATTTTTGTTGAAGATATGAGAAATTGATGAAGAAAGTGAAAATACAACTCATTGTCAGCTTTAAACTCTGCATTTTTAGTTTTGCACTCTTGCAGTCGCATAAAATATCGGAAAATGAAATAAAGCACTTTGTAATACGCGCAACGCGAATGTTATATACCTTTTACTTAGCACAATTAAGAATAATTAATTTCTTCCTTTTTCGCTTCATCATCATTACCGCCGTTAATCTGACGCGCAGGTATCCCGGAAGAAGAGAGCAATTCCGAGCGATGCGAGAGCTCGGCAAAGTCGAGCAAACACCAGCAGAGGACGACGCCGACGCCGAGCTCCGTCCAGGGTGGTTCAGTCGCGAAATCTCGCAGATCCCAACGATGTACCGGATGTCCCGGCTGCAGCAGCGATTCTCCTCGGCAGCTGCCCGCGCTTCCGGTGCCCGATCTGCCCAGCCACGGTGAGAGTAAGGTGCGGGCCTGGTTGGAAGACGTGCAGCCACCGCGACGTCGCTGGCGAGACGCCGAGGACACGCGTAGAAATTTTCAGGAGAACGCCCGGACGTTTGCCAAGAACCTGGAGTACCTGAAGCAGTTGGCGAGACGCGACTTCGCGACCGATTTGGACGATCGCGCAAGTCTCGCCGGCAAATCGATCTCTTCGTGGAAGGACAATCCGCCGATGCTGAGGACCTTTCAGAATATCACCGTTAAGAGCGAGATTCTTGGGAACGATGATCGTCACAGCGTGTCCAGACGATCGACCAGGTCCATGTTCGACGAGTCCGAGTACGATCGTTATGGTCGCGGCAAGCGGATGAACGGAACGACGTTTCAATTCACTGCTGGCGACGACACGATAAACGCCAAAGTTCGCAAGGCCATCGAGAATTCCTTTATCAAACAGATGGAGGAGAACGCGGCTCTGGAGAACGGGATAAAAGAGACGAAGGACGACAAAAATAGCAAGAGTGAGGACGAATCAGCGAAGACGGAAAGATCGTCGTCCAGTAACACTGAAAAATCGGAGAAACTAAAGACATCGCAGAACAATTCTGCCCCGAAGAGATCGAAGAAGTCGAAGGCACCGAGCGCGCCACCGTCGAGAAAGAAGGAACTTCCGGACATGATCAATGAATTACCTGGTGCGAAGAACACGGCGAAACGTATCATGGATGCCGTGATACGCGAGATGGTGGATGTAAAGGCGTTGGATCATCATCACGCAAGGTCGTCCGATCGCACAACAATCGGCAGCTACGAAGTGGACAGTCTCGAGCGTTCCAAATGCAGCCGGAAATCCACGTCGCCGGATCAATCGTCAACGGACAATCAATCGAGTCCGGCTCTATCGACGGCGTTGCCGATGGACGAGGAGCTGACGATGCAAAACGCCGTGATCAACACTCGTACCGGCGAGATGACGATGTCGAAGCTCAGTAATCAGATCCTTATTCAAAGAAATTGCTACAACAGTTTACCGGAATTGATCAGCAGCCAGCGACCGGAAGCGTACGCGCTGGTAAGTGAGGTCTACGTGAACGATGGTTACGCCAGTCCAGCCTGCAGCGATGACAGTGGTCCGGAGATCCAGTACGAGCCGGAAAATCCGGGACACTTGACCATCAGAGTTCAAGATTCGCCCGAAAATTACATCAAGCTCGACGAGTCCGAGTACGAGCCTGATACTCTCGATCGAAAACCGATGAAGCTGCGAATCAACGACGACATGCGATACGAAGGGGCGGAGATGGTTAACGAGGTTTACGTGGACTCGCTAGAGCGGCCAGCGCAGATCCTGCTCAGGAGCAAAGGTAGCTTCCGCGATGAGAATTCCTCCGCGACGCGACGACACGGTCCCGGAAGTCTGCGAGAAATCTACGAGGCAAAGATCAAGTCAAATCTGAAGGAACCGCACTCGATGAAACTGGATCACATCAATCACGATATCAAATGTCGAATGAATGGCGACTCGAGTGACGGGACTCTATCGTGGAAGAAGTGCAAATATCTGACACCGGATAGTAGGCAAGCCAAAAGACAAAGGCAGCCACATAATCAGCCCGATGTGGTGCCGATGCCACCCACGGAGGAGATCTATCAACGACCAAAGCCACCTCGACGCGTCGAGGACGCGAAACTATTGTTGCCACCTCCGCCACCGCCGTTGTCGTCATTTCCGTCAAAAAACGTCTGGGACAGGAGACCTGTCGAAGCGGGTGACCCTACGGCCAGCAACGGCGCTCCTGTCCCGAAAGTCAACGGATACCATGTAGGGAACCAGACGTGTGTCTGCGCGTCGCAGATTCAACTTATAGGCGATATCGCGAACGAGTACGAGACTTACAAAGAAAAACATCAACGTAAGGACGTCACTTTGATGGAACTGACGTTCCTTGACGAGAGGGTAGACGATCGTACCGTGACAAATGGTTGCAGGGATTGTCCATGCGAGACACGAATCGAGATCGAGGATTCCGAAGACAGGTACAGGTTTTACGGAGACCAGGCTGACGCCGAAGAGGAGGTCAAGTCGCGTGAGGCGAAAACAGCGCGAGAGAAACGACCTATCACAAGTTTTTCCCATCATAGAAACTCCGCGAAGACTAGGACACGGTCTCGGAGCATCGACGATCATCGCCAGGAGGATCAGAACAGACTTATCATCAGCAGCAGAGCACAGAGTGGTTCCAGAACGAGGCAATTGATGAAGGGTCTCTCGAGGAGTTGCGATTCCGGTGTCGGCAACGTGATGCTAACGCCGTTGGTAACGGACAATCGACGAGGTCATGTTAAGGTCGAGGACAGCGGCTATCTCAGCAGCACCGACAGCAACGGTTCCCGCAAACGGCTGCTGCGACACGAGGTGAGCAGCGTGTCCGAGGAGACCGACGAGACCGAGTCGGTATGCGATGGCGCCGAGAGCGAAAGCGGCGCCGAGAGTGTCGGCACCGACAGCGTTTTCTTCGGCAACTTTCGCAAACTGTCAGAGATGTCCAAGAGCGCCGACTCCGGCGTCGACCTAGACGCTAAGAGTCCACCGTTGTACTATCAATCACCATTTGGCATGAAAGGCGAGAGCACGATAATTCTGGAGAGAGCCAGCTTTAGCGCCAGCGACAGCGAGACTGAGAGCCTCGTCACCGTTTTGCCACCTTGTAGTAGTCACTGCAACAGTTTGGTATCGTAACTGAAGCGTTCACCTTTGACCTGGTGAGCGCTCTTCCAAGATCTTCCGGAAAGATCTCTGTTATAATAGAGCTGCGCAATTTTTATTGAAGTATATTGTGCGATGATGATGTCTTTATCGGATAAAAACGATGAAGGATGATTAGGTATATTTATAGAATTATTTAAATATTTTATTTATTTAAATTTTATTATATATTATTTATAATATTATTTATAATATTAGAATTCATATAAAGAGCTCAATGTAAACTATAATAATCATATGCACTTAAAATATGTAGGGATCATTTTAATTCTACATTAATATATCTTCTTACGCATTTTATAAAACAAAATGTTTCGCACAAAAGTTGTTTGGCTTTAAAGGGATCACAAGACAACGATCCATTTGTTTATAGATAGGACTATTTTCGAAAAATTTACTAATCACTTGTTAATGAAAATCGACTTTTTAAACAAAAGTTGCAGATCTGTAACTGTTGCACAATTTTGCAGTAAGAAATATCAAATTGTAAAAATTAGAACAATTTTTTCAATGTTATCTTTATGTTTTTAGCTTAATTTTTATTAATATATTTAATATCATGGATGTAATGTTATTTTTAGAGCATAAATAGAAATCAAAAACTTTTGCCATCATATAGTAGATAGAATATTCAATTAATATTGAATTTAATAGGATAGCGTAAAAAATAGGATACATAATAAAAATATGTATTCGCGCTATTAAACTTTTGACTTTTTAAATCAAAATTTTGGATTTTTTGCTGGAAGGTTCTAAGGTCAGAGAAATTAACTTAAATTAATTATCAAATAAAAAAAAAGTAGTTTAAAATGATTTTTTATTAAGAATATTACACGATACAATAGAAAGCGCTATGCGCTTAAAAGTTCATCAAGCGGGTAATTGATATGTATATGTTCTTCTTACTCATTTCATTAGAATTGAGATTCTTCTGAGCTTTTACTATTTTTATATATATTAATATATTAAGTAAATTATACGCGAAAACCCAAGTTATCTTTATCAAAAGCAACACATGCTTATATCTAGTTGTTATGTACATATTATATTGTTAATATTTATTGGAGGAAAATTTAATGAAACATCACATTAAAAGACTTAAAAATTTACAATATGTAATAATGACTAGTTATATTCATAAAATTATTTTTAAATGATATTATTTATTTATATTATTATTTTTACTAGTTATATATTATATATAGTTAAGTAGACAAGATATGTGAAATGAATTCAAGGTGATAGTGTTATCATAGTTAATTATAATGATATAAGAATATGTATTTATACATATTTTTTTAAAGCGAACTGTAATTCTTACTATCGAAATTATCGCAGTTATAATAAACCGAAAATCGATATGCTAGATGCATTATCGGCCGGAAGTGCAATATTAGTTTGTAATGAAAAAAACTACACAAATCATAAATTAAGTAAGTAGTTCGCACGGATACATTAATACGATAAAGTAGAATTATTGCGGAGCAATAAATATTTACAAAATATGCAAAGATATCTTCTATACAAAGTAATGACATCAGCATAAAAATTAAATAATTAGTTATAATAAGACATTTTTTATTATAAACATTTTAAATGAACATGAGATATTTTAAGAAAAAGATTTATTTTTTTGAAGAAAGATGGAAAAGTAAGAAATATGTAAATAAGCAAAAATAATGATATCTTACCAAAAAGGTATTAATATCCTATATTTATACTATTTTCGAGATGATGCATTATATTGCTATAATTAATACATTATATTGCTATGACAATTATTATAATTGGTTTCACTCTCTCTTTATCTATTAAAACTGTTATAATTTTAAGAAATACTTTAGAATATGACTGATATTTCACTGTCCAACAGTCAATTAATACACAAACCGTGTATTAATATACAAATTTATGAAATAAGAACAAAAAGTGTAATATTAATACAGGGACTATATTTTATACAACATAATCTATTAACTTATTAAGATATAAGTATTTTTGTACTTTTATTTTGTTTGATAAAATTCTTGTATTTAAAATACATCTGTCGTTAATTCCTAAAATAATAAATTTTAAAAATTATTTTTTGCAAGGTAACATATATTATATTTGTAATTTCCTTTTTTAAAGTTTTATATTACATATTTAATATATTTAATTATATTTAATTAATAAATTAATATATATTTCTGTATATTTTAATAAAATTGTTGTAATATCAGAAGCGCACGCTTCCATGTACCTGCCAAATGTAAATATTCGAGATAGATTTTAATATATACTGTTAAATATATTTATATGCTATTTAATATCATTTTGCAGGCGCAATTTGCAATATATTGTTTAATATAAAAATATATTTTATAGAATGTTTATATAAAAATATATATATATATATATATATATATATATATATATATATATATATATATATATATATATTTATGCAAATATGCCGTTACGATCGTAAATATTTTGAAGAGTTCCAGAATATTCAACAAAAATATATTAGTTTATTTTTTTTACTGAATCTTACTGCAATTAATTTGTTTTATATTATTTTTAAATCTAATAAAAATAATATATATATTTATACAAACATATGTTATGTATATTTGTTATGACTTAAAATTCATACTAAAATATGTACTTTTTTGAGTTATAAATAAAAAAATGTATGTTCTTAACTTTATTAGTAATTATAATTTTTATATAAAAATATTTACTTAAATTTAAATAATTTAACTGAGTTTTGAACATTTTTCAAACACTCACAAACGATCGTAATGTAGCATAGACGAGATTTCATGGGAATTTTGATAATTATTCGAGCATTTTGGCGCGGATATGTTGGTGTCGGTAGGTTTCGGGTGTGTTAATAAAGTGTTTTGCACAAAATAAAAATTATATTATCAGAAATATTCGAGAAAGCATTCATTAACGAAATATCGAACAATGTAATCTCGAATTTTTGTCACGTGATATGAATTTATTGTTGAATTTATATCATATTATTTAATCTCGAAACGGCGTTGTTATCATAGTTACAAGAAACAGCACGTTGTGATTGTACATATATATATGTAACAAATTCTTAATATTTTATAATAAAAATTGTTAATGGGTAAGAGATGCAGAATTTCTAATTAATACATGTATTATATTTGTTAAAATATATAAAAATGTGTATTCTCTCGCATTCTTATAGTGAAAAATACACATTTTTATTTTACAATATTGTAATTTTGAATGTGTTAAGTCATATCTTGAAACATTTTTATATATTTTTATATATTTTTTTTAATACATTATATACAATGTATATACATTTAAGCAACAGATGATTCATCTGCTTTTTCTATGGGTTTAGATGACACGTGTAGAATTTCTGAAACAGTTTCGAGTAATTGATTTTTATATTCAAATATCTGTTTTGAATTAAGATCACCACCGTATTCGCTAACTCCTTGCTTTTCCAATGAGTACTGTACTAATGACCACATAATATTCCTAAATTCTAAGAGCACATCGGCAGTTCTAAAAGAAAATAAATATAAGACTTAATAAGAGTTCTAGAAAGAAATAACAGTAATAAATCAATTTAACTAAATTGAAACACACACTAAAGAAAAAATAAAAAATATACATATAAATACTTACTTTCTATTACAAGAAAATCTTAAAGTATGTCGTTGATTGACTTTAATTACAATTTCTATATTGTCATTATTTTTCTGAAATCCAAAACAAATTATAAATTGTACAATATTATCTACACACACGTATGTACAAGTATACGTATATATTAAATTTTATATATATTTAATTATAAAAATTATTTAATTACCTCATAACATTGAATTTCTCCTTGACTAAAAAGTAATACTGATAAAGGTGATATCATGCTTGTTTCACGAACCACTATGCTGCGTCTCATTTCACAATACGCACCATTAAAATACGTCAAATAAGAAGTTGGCCAAACTTTTCGTTTATAATTAACACTTTCTCCCGAAATAACAGCTATAGCACGACCCCTATAAAAATAAAGTTGCAAGTAAGATTACTACACAAATTGTGTTTCAATTTAAATCTGTGATTATATAGAATTTACTTACTGAGTTTGGAGTCTGTTAACACCTTTTCTAAGGACTCCTTTTTTGAATCCTACGTTTTTCTGTTCTATCAATTGCTGTGTAGCAGAATATAACAGAGCTCGTACTAGTTCGTCATTATTCTCATATTTATTCATTACATCATCAAAATTATCACAATCAGAATATGTTGTGTTTTTGCTCAATAAACGGCATTGAATCAGATGTTGAATAAATGTATTTCGTATTTCTGCAAAATTGTGATTTCATGTAATTTAAGATAATCATTGTTATATATATATTGTATTAAATAGACTCAGTAATCATTAAACAAAAAGTTGTAATTTATAATATTACTTACGACTTAGTATTTCCATTCTGTTCTGCCGAAGCCTCATTTGTTTACAAAACCTTAGCATTAACTGTGAACTTGTTGTATTGTGTTTAAACCATTGCTTAAATATCCATGCCATTGAGATATGATCACTGGATGGATGATATAATTTTTTATTTTCTCTGATTTCGGACTTATGATCCAGTACACCATAAAAGAGATTGTTTTCTCCGGAAAATACACCAGCTATCGTTATAACAGGATGTATGCAGCTATATAAAACAAAAATATTAATAAGGAAAATTAACAGTAATAAGTGTTAATGTGATTTGACACAAATAGACACATATATACACATACATATATAATATATATTATTATTTAAACTTACTTGAAAATGGAGGAGTATACCAATGCTTTACTAAATTTAGGATGCATCGGGAATAAAGCCATTCGTTTACCCAAGGCTGTAAGATTTTCCTGATCATCCAAAACTCCGAGATCTATTAAATTGTTTACCGCCTTCTGTATTGCAACTGGATTAGGTGGTTCCAACAAGTTACTCAAAAATTTTTTCGCCTTTTCGTTTGTATATGATTTTGTGTCGAGAACTACTTTTTCCAAAGGATTGCACAACACTTGTGGCAATGGATGCGGCTCCAATTTTGCATATTGTGATTTCGTAATTATATGATAACTTTCACCAGGTTTAACTCGTCCAGCTCTTCCTTTTCTGTAATGAAAAAAAAGTTATTATCTCAATACATCATATTTTTAATTTATATATATAAACTAGCAGACAATGCTTTCAAGTATAAGAGCTAAACGCAGATATTAGGTGCAACAAACTTGTTTTTAACTTCCTCTCTAATTATTTTTATTTCAGCAAATTGATGGTCCAAAGAAAGGACCGATACATTCAAGACAATTAGAGAAAAATTTAAAAACAAGTTTGTTACTCCTAATATTTGCGCTTCAACTTTTATTAATCCTTTTCATACCTGATTTTGTATTTATATATCAAAATCCTTTCAATTTATTATTACATTTGCGCTTAATTTAATATATTTAATATATTTATATGTAATACATTTACTTAATTCTCTATAATTACCTCTGATTAATGTTTGCTTTAGAAATCCAGTTATTACTTATACACAGTACATCTTTATTATTGTCCCATCGCGATTCTTTTCGTATGGCAGAATCTATAACGTAAACGACGTCACTAACAGTAATGCCAGTTTCAGCTATGTCTGTAGCTAAAATTATTTTCCGCATGCCTGGTGGTGTATGCTCAAAAATCTTGCGCTGTTCACCATGCGATACTTTGGAATGGATCGGCAAAATTAATAGTTCTTCTGTTTTAAACGATATATCCTCGAGCATACTCTGCACTTTCGTAATTTCATTCCATCCAGGTAAGAAACATAAAATGGCTCCAGGCGGTTTTTTATGAGAGATCCATTTTATAATCTGTACTATTTTATTTAAATCAACTAAAAGCCTTTCATCTTCGTTATTGCGAAGTTCAAAGTTATTATACGATCGAAATGTTTTGATATTTGGTAGCTTTTCGATATCGTCCAGAAAATGCATTTTTACAGGATACAGTCTGCCGGGGACTTTAACGGCAGGACAATCGAAGTATTGTTGAAACATGTGCGCGTTTATGGTCGCCGACATAATCAGGACTTTTAAATCGGGGTTCTGCTCAAGAGCTCTCTTGAGCAGAATCATTAGCATGTCAGTGTCGATGTGACGTTCGTGAGCCTCGTCCAAAATAACATGCGAACATCCTTCTAAACTAGGATTGCTCTGCAATTTTCTCAGCAGTATACCTGTAGTGCAAAAGAGTATCCCGCCAAGTTCCTTTGGTAGGACTTGTTCCAGTCTCACTTGAAAACCCACGACGTCTCCCACTTTTTCTCCTCTTTCGTGTGCGATACGATCCGCCAAAGAAATAGCCGAGATTCTACGTGGTTGCGATACCAATATATTGCAATCGGTAGCATTTCCACTCGATGCAAAATTATCCATTATAAATTGAGGGACTTGAGTGGTCTTGCCACAACCAGTATCACCTTCTATCAATAAAACTCGATTGTTTTTTAACTTGGAAAGAATTTCATCCCTAAAATATATATAATCTTAGAAATTATATAAATTAAATATTATATGTGCACATAAATGTAAAATAAATTATGCATTTGCTATACCTAAATTCGATGATTGGTAGATTGACAGCTCTATCGCTTTCTTTTTCAAATAATCTCTGTCTCAATGTTTCATTGCGATGGTGAGTATCCGTGTAAAATGTTTGTCCAAGAATTGGATGATGATCAGATGTCTGATGTAATAGATTGTACGTTGCAGTGGTGTCTTCCCGTGTTGTCATGTTCCGTATTTTCTGGATATTATCATTGTACATATTAAAATTCTTAATTATACAAATTATAGTGATTTACATATATTAAAAATTGTAATGCAAAATATTACCGTTTCATAAGTCTCGATCAATTCTGTCATTTTGTGCAAAAGTTCAGAAGTAACACTTAAATCAACGGATTTTAGGTTTATATTCTTCATATCTTCCTTAGCATAGATGACTGGTTTACCATTTTTCAATTTGTCATTCATTTCTAGCCACTGTAAGCACTTCAAAGCTGCAATCTTAGAAGCAATTCTTTTGGTTTTACCAATACCCTTAAAAGACATAGCTTCTGGCCATTTGACATTCAAAATATTTTGCCAAAATACTTTTGTCTCCTTTAAAGTTACATCCTCAAATTTGGAAGTTAGAACTGTTGGGTCTTTCAATTCATGACTGATTATTGAGTAAATAGATGTTACAGAAGATTTTGGATCTGGATACAACCGTTCCAATTCTAAAATTTTTAATCATTTCATTAAACAAAATAAATTGACAAATATATAACTAAAATAAATTATATAAAGTATATATTTTTGTAAATTAATTTTCAAGTTATATTCATATATATCCTAATATATGTTTATTAACAAAATATAATATTGTATTGTATCATTTAAACTACAAAAATGCTTTAATTTTATAATTTAACTTATATATATATACATTTATAAAACTATTCTATTTAAATATAATAAATTCTTTACATACTTTTTTGATTTAAGGGTTCCTTATTACTTCTTTGTTCAATTTGATCATAATTTTTTCCCAATTTATTAGAAATTTGCTGCAAATTTAAATTTTTGCTGTTATTTTTAATAATCAAAAAATTGTACTATAATTAATTATACTTAATTATACATATATATTACCTCTCCTAATTTAAGATTTGAATGTAAATTGTTTGCATTCGCTACATTTTCATATTTAAAGTCCTTCAGTCCTTTATCCTCCTATATTGAAACAAGAGATAGTTTAAAAATATTATTTCTAAACCAATCGTATATAAAGTTGTATCTCCAAATATTACCTTAGATAAACGCTTATTTTCTTTATCCTTCACAAATATACAGTACTGTGCTGCATGATGAACATGCGAGTCTTTAATTACATCCTTATATAAGAATGATGTATGACATCGTTTAAGCCTATATAACAAAATAACCATTGTTAAACATATTTATACATAAATTTCCAATTTAATAATTACTAATTAAAAATGCTAATAAATTAGTAATGTGATAAGTAGTGACAATGTAGTGAAAAATAACTATTTATTACATTACATACCATTTGTATGCTGATCTTTGTCCAGCAAGTATTAAAAATGTTCCTGACATCTTGTTTGGTATATAAATGTATATAATTTATATAATTTTATTTATAATATTTTTTTATTATATTTATTGTACTTCTTTTTAGATATACCAAACTCGCGTCTTCTGAAACATTATATTCTGAAAAATAAATTCGATCAATTCACGTGGACGCAGTTTGTTTTTTTTTTTTTTTTAGGTTAAACACAAACACACTTGTCTTCTATAAAAATTAATGGAACGATCTCGAATGTTTGTGACAGCACTTATGGGTTACAAAAGAAGATCGCGAATATATTTTTATTCTCATTGACATGCATTATTTTGTGAAAAAAATTACCGGTTTTACGAAATTATAACCTCCAACAATGATCGAACGAAGCTCTCGTAACAGAAGTGCATAAAAAGTATCTCGGGTCAGGTTAGGTTAGGTTAGGTTAGATTACATCATGGAGTGGTTCGACCGCTGCGAGGATGGAAGCTGTGTGAAATTTTCAGTATTCTAAAGACATGCCTTTAATTGTCATAAGTCCGCATTATTTTGACTGGGTCATGAATAATTTTAATGAAAATGTGCAAGCGTTAAAAAGACCTTCGACGTCAATTTTATAACCGTGGGAAAGAAAAGAGAGGTTATGCTGCACGTGAGAGTTACGTTAACCTTTTGCCAACGGTGACACCTAAAAATCTTTACATATAAAAGTGTTGGAAAATGTCAAATGAAAAACCGTGTCGGGCTTGTACGGACTTTAGGACTTGGGCGAAACGTCAGAAAGAAGTCTACGACTCGGAAAAGGTAAACCAACAATTCGTACAATTTTTACTAATCATGCATACTCGATAGTTCTATTCTGAGTCATCAAATTTCTATTCTTGATTTTTATATATTTTTATATATTTTATTATTTTTTAGGAAGAATTATGTTATATCATTATAATTATTTTATGATGTCGTATATTATAATCATGTCATCGTGTTATCATGACTTTACATACTGGTATATTTTAGGAAGTGCAGAAAAAACAGGATCAGACTCCAGTTACCAGTGATAAAAGTACTCGAGACAATTGTCCCTTAGACAAAGATGAATTAGGTTCAAAATCTTGGGGCTTTTTGCATACTATGGCTGCATATTATCCAGATAAACCGAATGAAAAACAGAAGACTGACATGAAGAATTTCTTTCACATATTTTCCAAATTTTATCCTTGTAATATATGTGCGGAAGATTTACAAGAACAGTTAAAACACTCACCACCAGAGACCGACTCGCAGGAAAAATTGAGTCAGTGGTTATGCAGAATCCATAACGAGGTGAACAAGAAGTTAGGAAAACCAGAATTTGATTGTAAATTAGTAAATCAAAGGTGGAGAGATGGTTGGCTAGATGGCTCTTGTGATTGAAGATAAGTAACGATAGTAATTTTGAAATGTACAATGGGACCTGAATACAAATACAATTGTATAGATAATTGTTAGTATCTTTTCATTGAATGCAATCTGGTGGAAAATATATTAAAGATTCATTTGTGTAATATGTACATATAAACATAAAAAATGAAAATTGATAACAATATATGTTCTTAAAAAGTTTTTCAAATCCATTTTTTTATGAATATATAGGGGATAAAACCTTTTTTATAATATTAAAAGGAAGAATAATTTGAAATTGCATCATATGCTTTATTATAAATATCTTTGTGACTGGATAAGATAAAAGTCATAAATGTTTAGAATATAAATCTTTGCCAATGAAATGGCAAATATGCAATATTATTATTATTCGACTATCTAAATTAGAATATTCATTTTGATAAGATAGTAAAAAAATATACTTATATCACAAAAATTGCTTTTCATCAGCCACTTCAATAAGAGTGCATTCCATCAATAGTGGCACTTTCCTATCTACTATTTTTTTTCTATCGTGAGTGATTAAGGTAAGCGTGTGGCCGTGTGATAGTAAATGCCGTGACAGCGGTTCGAGAACCAGGTTCGTAGCTGTGATCCTGTCCCTGACCACCTATAGGCATAACTTGACATGTTCTAATGTGGAATGGAAAACGCTTATTATTCACAGATGGTCGAGTTACATATAAAAATGTTATGTGACCCAAGAAGACAATGCAAAGGGAACTTCCTTTAGCGACACTTTCTCTCACCCATTGCTCCACAAATAGAGTGATAGTCAATATCTGTAGAAGTAAAAAAATCTTATTAAACATTTTTATTAAATATAGAATGTTTTGTGTTTAAATAGGTACACACAAGTGATCAAAAAATATTTCAAATAAAACTTGATGTATGAAACATACCGTTAGAGGATGACAGAGAAACCACATTGATCCCAGGATAATCAGTGAAAAGTAGAAATGGAGCTTTGTATGGAGCTTCCTGATAGTCTTGAAGCAACGAGTGACAAACACGAACCAGGCAATCAATTTTAACGCTATTAAGCCGTAACCTGGTGGCGACTCGTAAATGTACAGCACCAGTCCTGGGTCGAAGATCTCAGATTGATATATATACAGCGTCATTTGACAAATAGTAGTAACACTGGCAAACAGTACAATCCATCGGACTTGCGATGATGTAAGGACACTTTTGGTAACCGTGTAGCCCAGTGCAAGCAGCAGCATGAGCACCGTGTACAGAGTTTCAGAGGATGCTGCCGAGAGCTGGCCCAATAAATGAGCATTCTCAGGTAGTGCTCCCCTCAGACCGAGATTGACGTAACTGTAAATCTCGCACAACAGGCCCAGTAATTGACACAACACGGAGATCATGAACAGCTTGTAGGATACGTGCAGCAGTCTCCTAGAGCGTAGTTGGAGCGCCACGTAGAAACTGAGCGTAGTGACTATCACATAGATGCAGGCGGCCGCTATCAACAGCGGCAATATATCTGCAAAAACGAGAAGTCCAATTAAAAAGAATGCTCTACGTCCCACCGATTGACGTGAAGGTCAAATTACTTGCAGAATTCGTCCGCGGAGAAGTGCTCCTTCCAGAATGTACCAGTCGGTGCGTTGGTCAACGATATCCAGTACGTGACGTTCAAGCCTGTCTTGGAAGAGCAGTCAGCTAAAACTATGAACCACCATCTCGGCCGTGCTGAGATGAATCTTCTCTGACTGTCGCATTCGATTACACCGTCGTCGCTCTCCACGCATCCCGACAAGCGAAACGACGTGTTCAAGGGTACTATTTGACCGTAATCAATGTTAAGAATACTCTCCTTGTCTTGACAAGTCTTGTTGGAGGGATAGACGGTGGGCCACTGATGAGGTCCATCATAATAGAGCAACAGATTCAAGTCGCGCTCTTCACCTCCTAATCGAAAATGGTATCGGAAAGTACCTCGCTCTGTTAAAAAACAGAATCTCGCGACGAATGCCCAGTTCTGAAAAAAAATAATTATTTTAATATTTATCGTAAAGTCACGCATAAATTTTTTTAACATTTTAAGCATATATAAGCTCTAGTCATTTTATTGAAAAATAATAACAGCATAAAACAGTTGTTGCAGTCAATACTATTGCTCGTATATTTTAAATAATATTAATCATATAGTAATAAGTAAATTATAAAAATATTTATACACATTGCATTTCAGTATATAATTTTTGTGTTTTTAATAGTTTAATAATTTTATATAGTTTTTAAATCATATAAATTTAATGAGAATTTATTCGGTCATATTTTATTTACAACAGATGATTTTGTTAATACATAATACTATTGACTATAAAAAATTGTATCTTTTAGAGACATTATTTCTTATTTATTTATTTATTATTTATCATTTAGAAATTTTTCTGTAATACATATATAAATTTAATGAATTTCTTTTTTATTCAGTCATTTCATTTAAAACAGACGATTTTGTTGTATATTACATATAACGCAATAATATTGACCATGCAAAGCTGCTATCCTAGAGAGATAGATTGAAGCTTCGCTAAAAGCGCGAAGAAGCGATTCCTTTTGTAAAAATCAATCTAGGTTGATTTGCAGTTTACCTCGCGTGTTACCAAATCACCACGAAGTATTTTGGCATCAGCGTTTCGCAGCAAAGGTAGATGCGCGATCGAGAAGAGCAATAGTAAAAATGCCAGTTTTGAATTTCGAGTGCGCGATGATGACGCTTGTGCAACAATTCCTCCGCACATAACTACCGTGATATCGTTACGAACGCACACTGTCAGCGGTCAGGCAAGCACTTTAATCAATATTTCTCGGTGCCATGACTTGTATAACGAGCATCGATTTGATTATTTGCGTGAAAACAGGCCAGACGTTTGCGAAATTGCTGTCTATAGAAAGAGCGCGTTTGACATTTTTTTATTATACACTCGTTTTTTGTAGTTGTACCTTTCCTATCTCAATTTTCCTCCATTATTTCTTTTTTTCTCTCTAATATTTAAATATATATGTATCCTACTTTGACCAGCAAAATTTAAATAGAATCTATCTCTAAAAAAAGATTAAATCTTAGGCTTGCTTATATATTATAATATTTTTCTCGTAGTTTCTATAATATATATATATCTGTTATATACATGTAAAATGAAATAGCTATTGATTCAAGCTCCGATGTGAAGAAGCAAGAAGTAAAGGGTAAAAACAAGAGATATATGCAGTTGAAAATATAAGAGGGCGGTGAATTTTTGGATCAACGAACAAGAGATATCAAAGTGCTATTATTTAAATCGACTGCACGCGCTAAATGACTCAAATAATGTCCCTGACATTTGTGTAAATACATACATCGCTTGCGCAACATGTACTATGCATGTGCAATGCGTCGTTTTCTCGCCACTTTGAATTGATTATTTGCAATGTAGCGAGGAAAAATGACACTTCATTTGTCGTAATATGTATGCCATATATTGATCTGTCCAGAGAGCGAAAAATATATTTTAAATAATGACCACATGACTTATTTATATATTTTTATATAACTTTAAAAAATTTGTTTATATATTATACTATATATATATATATATATATATATATATATATATATATATATATATAGATAAAGGTATGTATATGAAAAATATATAATACATAAAATGAAAAAATTTATTCACACTTTCAAAGTAAAGTAGACACGTATGCAAGAGTATAAAAGATTTCAGTTGTTCGGGATAAAATTAATTTGAAATTGTTTGACTGTCCTCTTTAAAAGTTTTGTTATAATTATCAAAAAGTATATATATATATATATATTTTGATAAGAGATGAAATAAATCAATAACAAGTATGCGTGTATACGCGCGCTAAATCCAACTTTGAGAATTAAATTTTAAATATCGAGATCGATAGTTAGAATCGATATTTAAAATCGAAATATCGATTTCTTCTAAAAATTCTCTATCTCTCATTTTTCCCTTATCTTTTATATTTTAATGTTTTATTTAAAAAATATAGGATAGTTTTGTGTTTATTTTAATTATTCATTACTATTTGTTAATTCCTTGTCACACATAATTATTTAGTCAGAATTAATCGCATTTGAGATCTTTCGATTGATTATAATCATCCAATCAGAAAACACTATCTAAAAGCAACACGACCAATCAAATTGACTATATAGAGCATAGAATATATATGCAATATTGCAGTGATCCCATGTGTTTATAACCTTACTTTCAGTGTACTAAAACAAAATAATAATAAATAGATAATAATAAATAGATAAATGTTCAGTTTGATGTGCTCACTTTAAATTTTTTAATAAAAATATACTGTAAGAATTCAAACATAATGACCAATAAACAAAATACAAAAGGTTTCAAAAGTAAGTTATTTTACATATATCCTTTAAAAAATATGTACAAAGAAAAAGTTTCTTTTTAATAATATATACTGAATTATATTCACAACAAACTTTTGTTTTTGAATTACAGCATTATGGATGCGCTTTAATGCAGACAGTTCGGATAAGCATCAGCTATTTTTTAAGGAACACTCTGTAAGAAATCAAGAACCTGAATATCCCAGGAACAAAACTCTTTTTGTATTAAATATACCACCATATGCAACCACTGATTGTTTGAAACATGCATTCATCAAACTTTGTGGAGATGTACATTTTATTAAATTTACAAAAGCGAAAGGATTCAAGACTGCATATATTGTTTTTCAAAAAGAGTCTTCCTTGGATAAGGCACTAGAACTGTCAGAAGATTGTGTCATCACATTGAACAGTAATGAAAATAAATGCCGTACAGGATTAAGAAGTAAGTTATATTATTTTTTATATTGTGAAAGCAATTTATATTTCTTATATTAAGTTCTTTTTAATTATTTCTTTAATTTTTCAAATAGAATGGTGTAAAGAATATAATGATTCTTTGTGCGATGAGCAAAAAACAAAAAAAGAAATTGAGGAATATTTAACTCTATATGACAAGCAGATAGAAGATCGTATTGCAAAAGAACAGAATGTAGAAGAGGACGATGAAGGCTGGGTAACCATATCAGGTGGGAAGAAAAGAGGGCAATTTGCACCATCTAGAAAAGAATCTACCATTGGCAAGGTGCAACAAAAGGAAGAACAACGCAAGAAAAAGAAACAGTTACTTAATTTCTATACTTTCCAAATTCGCGAGGAAAAGAAGCAAAGTAAGTGTAATTTTAAATTGCAAGATTTTTGTAATGTAAAATTTTTATTAAAGATATCTAATTTTTATGATACTTTTTTTAGACATAGTGGAATTACGAAAAAAATTTGAATTGGATAAAAAGAGACTACAGGAACTGAAATTAAAACGAACATTCAAGCCATTTTAAATAAGTTAAATATTGTAATTAAAAACATTAGGTAATTAAATCAAATAAGATTGTATTTTTTACAACAAATAATTTTTGTAATTATACAAATATTATTGTAATTATAATTAAATAATAATTATGTACAAATAGTAATTACCAAGTCATTACTGAAATATTCATCAGGGTGTCTCAAGCTGCTTTAGTTGCATAAGTTTGTAATGTCCATTCGATTAAGAAATGCTGATACGATAATGGTTGCAGAAGTGCTAATAGTTCCTCTGTAACAGATAGATATATATTATATATAAGCGTCTAACATTTTTTATATGTAAAATATGTGTATGAAATATATACGTTTATTTCCATAAATACAGTTTGCAGACATAGCCGCGCTGACGGCTTGCGCTAATCGCTCCATGGCTAAGTCACGCAAAGCCGTGTCTATATTGGTGCGATTTTGTAAGTTCGCCATCAATGAACGAGTAGTGGATGCCAAATGCTGAGCCGATATCGCGTGCTTATTGCTACCGCTATTATTCAGACGTAATACCGAATCCATGAGCAACTGTTGAACCTTGGAATAAAATTTTCGCGTTTCTTCTTGACTTTCTGTATTTTCCACATAACGCAGAGGACTCAATATGCACCACCTGCAAAAAAATAAATGATTTAATATTAGACGCTTTTATTTATTATTTCTTGTATTAAGAATTACAATACACAAAATACCTGAAGAGACCTGCTATAGGTGTTATCGGTGTCATTGGAATTCCACCAGTGGGCAATGCTAGATTATCTATTAAGGGAGTCAACAATAAACTTGGATTCTCATCAATCCATTCGCCTACTAATCTCAGCAGCTCCACAGGAGGATCTTTATCTTGATAAACTTCACCTATCGCTGTTAATAAGTTTGCAGTAAAATGTGGTGTTAGTACAGGTAACTGCTTCAGCTTATCAATGGATTTTGGAGTAAGTACGAAATAGTCGTTGAGTATATGCCTTGCCAGTCCCACACTTTGCAACGAGGTGGAGCCCAATTGCTGCATCCAAATGCCAGCTGCATTTAGAACCGCTTTGTTTTGCGTGGCAATTGCCAAAGATACCAGGTTACCTAAAGTCTTATATCTGGGACTGTCTGCTGGAAACAGCGATAGAAAGAGAGCATTGCGTACTGCAGGAGTACCACCTGGACTTTGAAAGAAGTCGCTCATAATCTCTATCAACTGCAATTCTTGTATTGCCATAGTCATGTTACGTTTCTTCCGCTTCTCTAGCTCCCCAAATACAAACTCCGATATCAAGTCCATTTGCAGATCAACTTGTTTACCAGGTCTGCAGCAGAGTATTTCTTGAATAAAAAATTAACTAATGCAGATATATAACAACTATTTGTAATATTAGATACTAGAACATAATATTAGATATATATATATTATATTATTAATTTATTAGAATATATAATTATGACGTAATTATACTCTAATATTAATATTAATAATATATTATATTTAGATGTATATACAGTTATTTGTAATATTAGAATTAATATTGTAGAATATTAATTTTATTTTACATATATAGTTTACGCTTGTTATTGTCGAGATAACCTTTATGCTATTCGTACCAATTCTGCATAGAGCTTCTCTGGCGCAATAAGGAAATTCCAACTTTTTGAGAGCCTGTTTGACATCATTCCCGGTCATTATAATGTAGATAAAATTATAAAAATCTTTTATTATTCAATTTTCACTCTCTAACAGAAGAAAGTGGTTATGTTATGCGTGTAAATTTACAGCCAGCTGAAAATCTATAGTATACGTGACGTAAACTATAGAATTCAGTACTGGCAGAGGATATATTACATGTAATATTATATTATGTAATATATTAGGAGTATACTTAGTAAAAAAGTCATTAAAATTAATCACCATTTTACTAAATACTCCTAATATATTTCCACGTTTTATTTACAATAAAATTAATTTTAAAGATTAAATAAAATTGATATTAGAGATATAAAAAAATCTAATAATATTACGAACTTTGAGAAATCTTTTAACATAATAAATCTAAGAACATATGAAAATTACAAATTATATATACAAGTCTTATTTAATTTTTAATTTTAGGCGCCACGCGGTAGCAGCCAATGACAGCTGAGCGCTGTTTACGATACGACATGACGTTCGGCCAATCACAGTTGAGAGCTGGTTAGAAATATCTATTAACTTCGGCCAATCACAGCGCGAGATGAGATATTCAAACGGGAGACTTTAGTCTCGCGCCACTTGGGTCCTGCGCTGGATTCTACTTTGATGGGTCCTGTGGTTCCTGTGCCGGGCTACAGAAGCCCGTACGGATCATTCTAACGAGCATCCGTGCTGGCTTAAGTGCGTCAGATTCACTCGCCGGACGTAAATGGCGGGGGTGCCGTATTAAAATTTGCGTTTTCTTCGGTCGGCTTAAAATGGAATAAATCTACAAGTGTCTGTGAAGTGAAAAGTGTGTTTTCTTCGGTCGGCTTAAAGTGGAATAAATCTACAAGTGTCTGTGAAGTGAAAAAAAATTAGTTAGTGTGCTGATTTCATCAGCTCAAGTGCATTATGACGAACAAGTCGTTTATGAGAAGATGGTTTGGCTTTTCTTCTTCCATCTCCTCTCCATCCTCCGGGAAGGATGAGGATACTTCGGATTCATCGACCGGTGAGTGCATATTCGTTTGATTGCATTTTGCGTTAACTGTTTCATGCGCTCCCAATAATCATTTAATCACGCTTTTGTCATCACTCTCACGATATTTCGTCGTGAAACATTGATATTCGTTTTCGTAGTCGCCTTGTGCTCTGAGTATAAAGGGTGAATAAAATCGATATAAGATGGCGTACGACAAAAGATGTATAGATTTTAGATCTTTGCGTTAACTGTTTCATGCGCTCCCAATAATCATTTAATCACGCTTTTGTCATCACTCTCACGATATTTCGTCGTGAAACATTGATGTCCATTTTCGCTTCGCCTTATGCTGAGTATAAAGGATGAATAAAATGGCGATATAAGATGGCGTACGACAATGTATGTACAGATGTATAGATTTTAGATCGTCCCAGTCGGTAATCGTGGAATTTATCTTGTAAGGTATCATTTAAACTTCAAATAGCATTTGACAGTTATCGGTATATGAGGTCTCTGCATTCTCGACTGCAGTTTGTGTACTGAACTTTTTCGCGACTTATCAATCGATACAAAGTATTATATGATAAGAGAAAGATTACGTTTCGGGGATAGTACTCTTTCGTAGAAATCGTTGTCCTCGAACAAGACGAGTTTTTCTAGAAACATTGAAATTAATATAATTAAATAATATAATTATTATTAAAATTATATAAAAATTTTTAACTGCTTTAAATATATTGAATATTGAAAAATTATTATATCTTCTTCAGTCTAAAGTGATAATATTTTATGATAGAAATCAGCTGATTTCTGTCAAAAAATATTAATTGAGTTTAATGTATTATAACACATTATTTACAACATATTATTTTAATTTTTATAACATATGTATTTTAAAATTTAGTAAACAAGTTAACATTTATTCATATTTTTAAAAGAAATCAGTTGCATAAAGTTTTAATTTGCTACTTAAATTTTATAATATGTTACAAATATAATAATGTGTTGTAAATAATGTTATAATACATTATAAACTCGATTAATATTTTTGACAATTATCAGTTGATGCTTGTCAAAAGTATTAATCAAAAATGAAGTATTATAATATATTATTTACTACATATTACTATTAACTGATTAAAGCGTTAATTTACTAATTAGATTTTAAAATGATATGTTATGATAATTAAAATAGTAATATGCTATAAATTATATATATTATAATATCTCATCTTCGATTAATATTTTTGACAGAAATCAGCTGATAACTGTCAAAATTATCAGACGAGTTTGAAGTATAATAACATATTATTTACAACATATTACTATTTTAATTTTTATAACATATTGTTTCAAAATAAAATTAACAAATTTTCGTTTTATTAATATTTTAAAACCAGAAATTAGCTGATTAAAGAGTTAATTCACTATGTAAATTTTAAAATAATAATATGTTATGAAAATTAAAATAGCAATATGTTGTAAATTATGTTATATTACTTTATCCTCGATTAATATTTTGTAACAGTTATCAGCTGATTTATGTCAACATATGTTTCGACAGTTATCAGCTGATTTCTGTCAAAATATTATTCGAATATTTATATATAAATCAAGTTTACATTATTTTTAAAATATATTCTTTTTAATATAAAATCGAAATCGCCTAGCACGCGCTTGTGCCTATATTATATATTTATATTTCGCGTGTGACAGTTCCAAGCTTCGGCGCGTATGTAACAGCAGCGCCGCCGATGGGGCTTCGCCGCTCAGTGCCGCCATCAGCGAGTAGGTTGCGAAGCGCATTATTAGTCAAAACAATCCGCCGAATTCGCGATCTATTTTTAGGTCGCGCCCACCGGAGCTACGGTGCAACGCCGTTTATCCCCGCAGACCCCCGAGAAAAAGGTTCGTACGGCCGGGTACCCTTTCGCGACGCCGTCTCGCATCCGCGGTAAAGGTTCATCGACCCTCCCGCTGCGACTGTGACAGGCCAGGGAGCCGTACGGCCGAGCGCGGCCGGCCATGTTTATATCGTGCTGAGAATTTTCGTGCTGATCGACCAGCCGTCGTGAGCCAAGAGAGGGACTCTCCACGTGCGTCCGCCAGCGCGAAGATTCTCAAGATCCCGTGTACGAGTCCAAATTTCCCTCCTCCGGGAGATCCGCAAGCTTACGTCGCAGAGTGACGATGGAGTCCTCCGAGAGAGGTAAGTTCGTTCGAGGATGCTAACCCGCGTGAGAAAACAGCGACAATATTGTATGTGACTATGACACAAATCGCGCGACGCCCCCGGGGGCAATGGCAGTGTCAGGGTCGAAACGGAACTGGTTCAGTGACCGCGTTCGCTTGGCGACGACGGGCGCGTTTTCGCGCCGCGTCTTCATCAGGGCGAGCGTCCGCGCTCGACGCTCGAACTACGGACGTCGACGGCGTGAGATCGCGTCGGACGCCTGGGCTCTCGCGAAAATCGCCGCGATCGAATCTATGTCACGCGGCGTGCTTTTGACCGCGACTGTACCAGAGAGCCGCGTACATCCTTCTCGTTCCGTGCGCGTCCATTCACACATTCGCTCGCTCACGATCGCGTCTCGTGCGCGCGGCCGACTTCTCCGAGGTATACCGACCTCGTGCGGATCGCTCGCGGCACGTGGTGAAGAAATCTGAGATCCAACCGAGTTATTGCGCGAATCTTCTCGACGAACTCCCCCATTTTCCCGGCGAAGATACTATGCTACTATTTGGGAGTTCCGCGTTGCGCAACGTCGCGCGACCGTAACTGCGTGTCTTTAACCTACATAGAGGGGGAGGGCCGAATCGGAGTCACGATGTCGTTTGACAAACGGCGCGCACACGTGAGAATTATTATCGCCTGACCGAGTACGGTGACTGCTGGTGGCTGACCTGCCATGCCGTGCCACGTCGCGACGTGGCGACACCTGCCGACCGCTCGTGCGCGCCCTACCTCAAGCCACCGCGAATTAACCCTCCCGTTGAGTCGTCGTCGTCGTCGTCGCCGTCGCCGTCGTCGTCCTCCTCGTCGTTGTCGTACAACCCCCCGGCGCGCATTCGCCCCGATCCAGCTCTTCGACTCCGTGACTCAAAGCGAGGAGACCTCCTTTTCACTTTTGCCGAAATAATGTGAATTCTCGCATGAAAAAACGAGTGGCGATAAAAAGATTGAAAGTAAAGCTCTGCGCAGAATAAAAAAATATTGGAAATAAATATTAAATATTAGGAAAGAGAATTATTTTTAAATAATGTACAGAGTGTTATAAAAGTACCGCGATAATTGAATAACTCGAAAAATATGAGTGCTGGGTTTTTATGATTTTTTTCTGTCTATCTGACGTTCAGATAGCCAGGAAAAAATCATAAAAATCCAGTACTTGACATTTTTTCTAGGACTCATATTTTTCGAATTATTCTGCTGTTCCGGTATTATAACACTCTGTATATAGATAGAATCGAGAAGATGTCGATATAAAAATACAAATTCGAGTATAAAGGAGTAGAAGAGCGAATAAGCTAGTGAAAATTCTTTGTACTAAATTTGTATTATTTTATATTTTATATTAGACTATTTATATTTTACAATAGTTTTTTTGATTTTTTATTTTAAAATAATTTTCATACCTAATATTTAATATTTATTCCTAATATTTTCTTTATTGTACACAAGGCTTTAATATTTTCTTATCATGTCGTCTTCAATCATCGTGAATAACTACCAAAGATATAAATTATATAATTTTTTAAAAATTAATTTATATGCTGAGGAACCGAAATATTCGAAATAAGTGTAGAGAAATTAAAAAATAATTTTTGTAAAACCTACTGTAATTTGTGTAAAACCTAATTTTGTTTGTCTCTTAGTTCTTCTTATATCTGAATTTGAATTTTTTGTCGTTATATATACACTATGAAATCTTTAACTACGCGAATTTTGCGCCCAACTTTGTATAAATTAATTTTTTGATACGGAAAATTATAGCATTTTGTTTATAGCTGTTTGTAGTGATTTTCATGGTCTTTAATCAAGTCTTTACACTTAAGTCTTTAAGTGGAGATAGATCGATATCGATCTTAAAGCGAAAAAATTACCAACACTCCACTTCAAAATATTTCAAATCTGTTTGTGCAGTCTCTTTTAGAATCATTTGTATCATTTTAGTCATTTGTAATTGTTTTTAGTAACAATAATTTCGTTTCCTTGTTTCGTTTATTCGTCTTATCAATAAAAAAAAAAATTTAAATGACCAACACAAATATCACTTTTGACAATTTTTTAAACAATTGTAATTTTTAAACCGTGCAACTACAAATGTAACGAAAATTATTACAAACAATTACAATTAATTCTAAAAAAGACTGCAATGAAATTCGAGATATCTTAAAGTCAAGTGCTGTTCATTATTTTAATTTCTTACATTTTTTAATTGACTACAAATGAAATATTATCATTTTTCATATTAAAAAAATTAATTTTGCGATAATCAGGTGCAAGTTTCACATAGCTGTATGATGTCGTCTCAGTTTGTCCTAATAAGGCATTTTTGTTGTTTTAATGGCTATTAGAATTATTTGTTTAAACTATCAGTAATTCTAGAACTATTGTAAATAAAATCAACTTTTAATTATTTATGAGTTTCCAGAAAATAAGACGCCAATTTCAAGCATAGTTGAATGTTTGTATCGCGAGATTCATCTTTATTATATTTAAGATTATAATACATTTTTATATTTATTTTATGTTTAATAGACTATTATTATTACTCGAATTATATATGATATATAAAAAAACTTATCACAAAAACTTATCATAAGAAACTTCTCTCTCGTAAAAAAACTTATATACTTATCGGAATATTTTTCACCGGAAGCTTTTTTTGCAAAGTATAAAATTTAAATAAAATAAAATACAAATAAAATTGGATGAATGAAACTAGCGCTTTAATCAACCAATTAAATATATAAATATGAATCGACCGAACAAACTACACAATTAATATATTCGCACATTTTTTTGCAATTGGTTGTTGACTCAACATATAATTTATTCGATGAATCTGATATTTTTACTTGCATCTAATTATCGATCATTTTTCTGCATTTTGTGCGAATTCATATCGCGCTCGACTTATTTGCATTCAATCGAAAGAATCGCTGGGTAACAATAATCGATTGATTCCTATTTTCAAAATCCGGCAAATTGGTATCGAATGTTAAGTATAAAAGAATATACCAGAATCAATGCGGCCACTATCCGATTATTCCGCAGTTTCGTATCGTTTGTATGATTCGTTTATTGACTTCGCGATTTTAATTGACCGTTTTAGCGCGGCGAATGTAAAATTGCGCGCTGATAAATATTATGATCCCTGCACACACAAGGGAGGGAAAGCGCGATAAATAATCTTGTCGGACCCCGCGCATGAGCAAAATTGCTGCTCTCGCGGTGGCGCATTTCTAAGTTTGGCGTGATGGTTATGTGTTGTGCGACCCAACCGCACCGACCTTTCTGCATTCATTCTGGTCTCCGCGAGATCACGGCCGCGACTCTTCGCCTCGTTCCTTTTTCTCGGTGCTCTTTTTTTCGCATACCGTCGCGTCGTCTCTTACGTTGCTTTTCTCTCGCTTTTCAAGACTGCGCTCGCGCGAGCGTGACAGTCCATCTTTTAAGATGATCTTCGTGAATTATCTTGGAAGATGAATTAATACTCGACTTAGTCGCGCGTAATAAATTGATACATGGTCAAGTTAACCAGATATATATGTATGTACATAAATATATGTATATAAAAGGAGAAATTCTCTGGTTTCCGTTTGTGAAAGAATATTTTAGAATACTATAGTGGATGCTAGGAAAAGTTTTGAAATTAAAACCTCCCTTTCAAATTTAAAAAAAAAATTAAAAAATTGAAACTCCGAAAAAAATATGAAAAATTTTTTAAATGTGATAATGAGATCACAAGTTTTCTCGTCATTGATTTTAGAGTAAAAAGAAGAATATTAAACCAAATAATTTGACTGAAACCTCTCTTCCCCCATTGCGTCGACGTCAAGATCTGCTTTAACATATTCTTAAAATACTTTATAATATTAGAAATTCTAAAAAATTTCTAAAATAATATTTCATGTTTGTCCAAGACATTTTATATACACATGTATTAGATCTGTTGGTCACGGAAACGATGGAAGGAAAAAATGTTCAGAGTTCAGAAATGGATTCTATATTAATTGTAAGTACTTGACGAAGAAGCTAGTTTCGCTATTAAAAACGAAATATGGTCGATGATTGGTATTTCAGAAAAGAAAAAAAGGGATAAAAAGGGGAGCGAAAAAGTGCAGGCCATTGCAGGCCGGGGTCGCTGCATTTGAGTTTTCTGACCTGCACAAGGACCCATAAAATTCCCCGAAATCCTTTGTCCGGGAATTCGCAGGCTGCAGACTTCGTAGGGCTAACGTCGCCCTTTATCCTTCCATTTTTAATTCATGTACTCTATCCGCCTAGCATTTTGTTCTTTTTCGCGCGCGCGAACCTTCTCTCTTTCTCTTTCTTTTCTCTCCTTCTTGATTTCTTCCTCGTTATATAAGTCCAAGGACGAGCTCTCTACTATGTATGCTTCTCCATCCTTCTCTTCTCCTCCTCTTTCGCTCTTTTTGTCCTTCTTCACGATCTCCCTCTTTCCTTGTCTTTTTCTCTCCCCCTCTTTATCTTTTGCTCGCTTCTTCTCATTTGCAACGCTGTCCTCCTGCACCATGCACTGCAGGCATCAGACGATGCCTTATACGTTCTGCTTCTGTTATATTCTTCTAGCTTCTACTGGTCTGCTTCAGCATTCAGGATTTCTTAAAACGAGCACTGCACTTTTCAGAAAGAGAAAAGAGAGCAGCACGCAAGATACAAGATATCGAGAGATAAGATATATAAAATTTTAAAGGTTGCTACAAATATTTTTTTTATCGTTTCATTACAAAGATTATTTTAGATTTTTCAAATGTATGTATACGGTGTCTCAAAAGATTAAAAGCATATTTGAAATGTTTGTATGTATACCTTCATTAGAAGTTAAACAAAGAATAATTTATCATTATTTTTAAAATGTTGCCTTTTTAGACTAATGAATAAGAAAAGAATTTAAATGAGATTCTCTTTGTATGCAACGAGTGACTTTGTCTTGCCTGTTGCATCGTTTTTTCTTTTTT